AATGTTAATGTTAAGGTAGAGAACATTAATATGAAGATACAAGAGCCGATTCACACTCCGGAAACTGACCTGTGGTGGCATCGGTGGAGAGGGGGCCGGAGCGCTTGCGTCCAGAGACTCCATAGAGATTGAACTTGTATCTACGTAAAGGAGCCAGGTTGGTCACTGTGACTTCATTGAGGCTTCCCTCCACAGGCAATGCTTGGGATTGCCCATCTGCATCCTTGTACTGGATCAGGAAGGAGTCAAAGCTCCCAGTGGGGACGGTCCAATGGAGTCGGACAGAATCACTCGTCACCTCAAGGACTGAGAAGTCTCCTAGGCTGGGTTGGACAGGAATTGGCTCCCCTGGGTCTCTAATGTGGGCTAAAGCAGAGAAATTAAAAAAAAAAGGCTTAGTTATAAGAGCTTTGATGTTGGCTATGCAATCCAGAAGCTGCAACATTCAGTTAAAAATTGCTGCTTGTTAAGGAAACCAAGAAAGTTAATATGGAGTTACAATATTTGAAACGTTCCGACCGCATTAAATGCTGAAGCTGACCTGTGGTGGCCTCAGTGGAAAGCGGGGTGGAGCGTTTGCGCCCTGAGACTCCATAGAGGTTGAACTTGTATCTGCGAGAAGGAGCCAGGTTGGTCACAGTGACTTCACGGGAGCCTCCCTCCACAGGCAACATTTGGGGTTGACCATCTGCATCCTTGTACTGGATCAAGAAGGAGTCAAAGCTCCCGGTGGAAACGGTCCAATAGAGACGGACAGAATCACTTGTGATATCAAACACGGATAACTCTCCCAGGCTGGGTTGAACAGGAATCGCCGTCTCACCATCTGGAATAGGAGCTAGAATTATAGAAACAAATGGGAAACTGTTACCATAACCTTTCTCCTGTCTACACAACTGATGTGTTTAGTGTTTATAGTTTTAATATGGCTTTTACGCTGTTTTAAGTTTTGACTGGGGGCCACTCAGGGTTGCTTATAAGATTGGTGGCTATATAAATTATTGAATGAATAAATAAACTCAGGTGCTGGTATTTTGTTCATTAATGTTTCCTTCCTTCCTTCCTTCCTTCCTTCCTTCCTTCCTTCCTTCCTTCCTTCCTTCCTTCCTTCCTTCCTTCCTTCCTTCCTTCCTTCCTTCCTT